GCCTCGTCATGTTTCATGCGCCGTGGTGCGGCCACTGCAACAAGCTGCTCCCGACCTTTGGCAAGGTCGCGACGGCGCTCAAGGCCAAGAACATGCTGGCGGGCTCGATCGATGGCACCAATGTCGCCAACCGTCCGCTCATGCAAGCCTTTCGCATCGCGTCGTACCCGACCATCCTGATGCTCCACGACACCTCGTACACGCTCTTTGAAGGCGACCGAAGTGTGGACGCGCTTGTGGCGTTTGCCGATGGCGGCTACAAGACGACGACATCGACCAAGAAGGACATGCCGGTGATTCCCAAGGCCGAGGCCATCCAGCCACAGCAAGCCAAGAAAGAAGACGCGCCGACCGAGATGGCCAAGAACGTCCATGTGGCCGAGTGGACGACCACGATCTTTGACACGGTGCTGCAAGGACCGGTCAACGGCAGCGTCTCGTCGTCCGAGCTCTTCCTCGTCGAGTTTTACGCGCAGTGGTGTGGCCCGTGCCGCGCGTTTGCAGCCGCGTACGAGGCCATCGCCGAGGAGCTCAAGAGCGACATGGTCGTCGCGCGCATCGACGGCGCACTCGAGGAGGAGCTGCGCACGCGCCTCAACGTCGAGAGCTACCCGAGCGTGCTTTTGGTCAACAAGACAAAGCGGCTCGTGTACGCCTTCCCGAGCAAGGACGAGCGAACCAAGGACGCGATCCTCGACTTTGTTAAGGGCGGGTACAAGGCGACGACGCCGACCGCGCTGCCGCACCCGCCGTCGGCGCTGCGTATCCTGTTCCAATCGTTTTCACTCGCCGTCTCGGAGCTGCTGGCGCTCCGCCTCGAGACGATGGCAGCCGTCTTGGCGCTCGGTGGCGGCCTCGGCTACACCTTTGCCGTCATGCGGTCACCCAAGAAGCTCCCGAAAGGCCTCAAGTCACGCCAGGCCAAGAAGAACGAGTAGAAAGATTCCACACAGATGACTGCATACGCTCGCACACTGCTGCATTGCATCAATATAAGCATCATATTTCGAGTCTACAGTATACTCTTGTTGCACAGGTTGTCTACTACTCGGGCAATACGGTTGCCATGACGCTCGACCGACGGGCGCCAACAGCGAGAGCAAGGCGTAGGAAGGCCACGGCCGTGGTAGCAATGACTCCAAGGTTGTTACAACGCCTGGAGCTGCGCCATGAGGTCTTGGACCGACGTCTCGGACGACACACGGACGCTTGGGGATGGTCCTCGCCTCGTACGCAAAGCAAAGCCCGGGTGGTGCGGATGTCGATTCTCCGATCGTGCAGTCGACGCTGGCATCGCACACTTGGATGCCCCAGTCGTTGGTGTCGTGTACCACAGCATCGACATCGAAGTTGGCCGGGGTTGGCGGTGACCACGGGCCATGCGTGGCTTGCTGGCGGCGGCAGTCGGCGCTGGCACACTCGGGGTTGGGCCTCAGCACGTCCACGGGAAAAAAGTCCCGCAGCGCACTGTACCCCAGGTAGTACGAGACGCTGCCAAAGCGCAGGAGATGTTTGAGCGCGTTCTGAACTAGAAGCGACGCGACGAGCCCCATGGTGGTGGGGAGCGACGCGGCGCAGACGCCGTCGCGCTTGAGCGTCGACTCGGGCACACCCGACGCGAGAATGAGCGGTGGTAGACACTCAAAGCACGCCGTGCGTCCGGGCAGCAGCGTCTGGATGTGGCCCGAGACGGCGTCTTCCGAGACACCGCTCTCCATCCACGTCATGTTGAGCTCGTTGCAGGCTTGGTTGATGGACATGCGCGCTGCGTAGTTGTCGACGCAGCTCAAGACGAGGTCGACGCGCCCGCCATCGAGGCCACCGTGTGCGATGCGGTCGAGGAGCTGCTCAAAGTTGGCGGTTGTCGTAATGTCCATCGTGTGCTCTTCAAAGGCCACGTCCGGGTTGATCGCCGCCAGCGTCTGCACGGACGCCGCCGTCTTGGTCATGCCCGCTTGTTGCGGCCGGAAGAAGAGGCGGTTCATGTTGGCGAGCTCGACTCGGTCGTAGTCGTAGAGCAAGAGCTTCCCGATTCCGCAGCGCGTCAGCATCTCGGCGGCGACAGACCCGACGCCGCCAAGGCCCACGATCAGCACCGAGAGCGACCGGATCGACTCGTAGTCGGCGACGACGCCCATGCGCTGGAGCGCCATGAGCCGGCTGTAGGGATTCGAGTCGATAACCTCGCTGCTCATGTGCTCCACTTTACGGCGACCGCCATGCTTCTCGGCCTCGAGCTCGCGAATATGGGCTTCGAGGGCCGCAATGCGGGCCTGCAGCGCGTCGACGTCGGCCATCTGGCTTTCGGATCGCAATGCCTAATTAGGGATTTGACCTTTGTTTTCGGCACCGCCCATCTTGGTGCCGTTATCCGGATCGAAATTCACCAGCGGGCTTTTGTAGCATAAAGAGAGGTGGGCGATTGCATGCAAGGAGTTTTCGGTCCATGTGATAGATAAGAACTGCTGGACGCCCAGCGCTTGCACCAAGAACGATCGAGACGATGCTTTACAGAGCCAACACAGCGGCTACAGCAATAGCGAGAGGTCATACCGGAACCACTTTGCCCGATTCCGAGAGACAGCTGCGCGCATAGCAGTCTTGTCTGTCGTGGCGATTCGGCGCGAAATGCATCACATTGGAGAGTCCACTAAGGACGGCCTACGATCGCAGTCAAGGAGTTGCCCATCAAGCTGTCGCCGCCACGCAGCTTGGAATTTGTATGCCATCGGTATCCGGCACCGCCTGTCTTGCGAAACCAGCTATCTTTTTTCCCAGTCATTTCCCAACCCTCACGAATAATGTCGACCGAAGCGAGTAGTCCCCCGCCAGCCTTGACCATCGCGACGCCCGCGCCGGCGCCGATGGCCGTGGCGGTGGCCGTGCCTCCGTCGCCAGCGTCGTCGTCGACGGCGTCGTCGCCCGTGGCTGGCGAAGGCGCGGCGCTGCTGCCGGGCAAGAAGGTCAAGATTTCGGCGAAAGAAAAGTTCAAGCGCCTCGAGATCCGCCGCGTGAACGGCTACCTCCGCATCGTCAACATCGTGCTCGGGTCGCTCATGCTCTGGTACAGTGGCAACCTCCTGTACACGACCACGACGTACAAGGGCGTGCTTGACTCGCTCTTCCTCATCGCGCAGGCCGCGCTCCTCGTGCTCTTTGAGCTCCGCGACAACTTTCCCAACGTCGCCCAGGGCATGCATGACTTCCTCGGCTTTATGTTTACGGCCTATGGGCGTGCAACGCTCTTCCTCGTGTACGATGGCCTCGAAGACGATGCTGATGTCAATGCTGGTCATGGACGCTGACGGCGCGACGGTGATAGGATGGGCACGTGGGCGCCAACGCAGGGCTCGACGGGCTTGGTCTTGGGCATTGCGTTCTGCCTCCTCGGCCTCGTCAACTTCACATTCATCCTCGCGGTACGTTTACAATCTCATGGTGATGCGGATCGCTCACACCTATTATGTTCTTCGAGTAGCACCCGAGCTACAAGCAAGCGATGGCCGATGCCTCGGGCTCGCAAGTCACCGCCGTTGTCGTCATCGCCGAAGCGCCCAAGCCCGCGTACGGTGCCACGGACGCCCCCGAGAAGGCCGTCTAAGCGGCGCCATCATCTTTATAAGGTTGTCCTAATGCACGCGTCGTGTCGCTTTGCAGTGGCGAGCCTTGGTGCGGCATGTCGCCTTCGTGAGGCGCCGCGAGCGACTAGCAATGCGCAGCGTCCTTGCCATGAGAGCCTCCTTGGGCGGTGGGCGGCGACCAAGCCATGTGAGACTCGTCCTCGCTTTGTCCACGCCATCCTTCCAGCAACGGCCACTTCGAAAAGAACAAGTGGCGTGTTTTTAGCGCATCTATTTTATTCCGTCGATTTAAAGTCAACTCGTGAAATGTATACAATATGCAGAAATAGATTGTCTGTCTTTTCTGTCGCTGGCACGCTGGATCTCAATTCGAGATTTGAGCTGCCAGCCGCAGATCGCTGTGCCATGAGCTTCCGCGCCATCGTCGCCGTCTTGAGCCTCCTCGTGGCCTTGGCCCATGCGTCGTCCCATGTGGTCGACCTCACGAGCGACTCGTTCGAGCACCTCACGCAGGCGGCCACCGGCGCCACGACGGGCGACTGGCTCGTCGAGTTTTACGCACCGTGGTGCGGCCACTGCAAGCACTTGGCACCCGTTTACGAAGACGTGGCCAATGGTACCCCTATCTTTCACAGCTTCGCAATAAACTCATGGCATCTGTAGAGCTCCACGGAAGCGTCAACGTGGCCAAGGTGGATGTGACGGCGAACGCGGCCTTGGGCCAGCGCTTTGACATCAAGGGGTTTCCGACGATCCTTTTCTTCCACAAGGGCTCCATGTACGAGTACGGCTCGAACGAACGCACGAAGGACGCACTGGTCGCATATGCCTCGGGCGGCTTTGCATCGGGCGTGAAGAAGCCCGTGCCCACCGTGCCGACGCTCATGGACGAGGCGACCAAGCATGCGCACATCATTGTCCATGATCTCAAGACACTGCTGGGCACGAAGAAGAACGCGATCATTGCGATCTTTGCCTTTGGCCTTTCGATCGGCCTCGCGCTCGGCTGCTTCTGCAATTGCTTCTCGAGCAGCCGCGAGTCGCCCAAGCAGAAGCGCGCGTAATGCAATCGCCGCTTTAAGTTAGCCTAGTGATTTTTCTTGAGCATACTACATAAGGTCCTATCATGTCATTTTCATCGTCCCTCGCCATCCTGGAGGTCGAGGGCGTCGATGGACCTCGCGTGGCCACGCCTTGTCATCCGGAAGATCGTGTTGGATGCCGGTCTTTTCCGGAGCCTTTTGTGTTTTATACGTGTATTGTTTAAAACAGCAGTTGGGGATTAGTTGACAACCGGTTGGAAATGGAGCGGCCACGGTTCAGCAGCCCATCGCCGTACGGTTCGTAGCGTCGTTAACCGCAACGAATGCGCATGCGAGTCGCCACGTCACGGCATGGCTTGCTCCGGACGCGTCGCTCGCTGGGCCCATCGATCTGAGAAACACTGTCCCGTGACTGCGTCAGGGCGGTACCATGGAGGCTCTTTTGCAACCAAGAACTACTAAGAACTACGAGGCCGAGCGTTGTCGGTATACTAAATCGAATCCATGTTGTTTCGCTCTACGCTGTGTTCTCAGCGCGTGCATGCAAGCCAAGAGCGACACTCTCTTGCCGCCGCGACGTGACCTCGTCGCACGTTCGTCGCTGCGGTTGCATCGCGCACACCCGTACGCCTTAATAAACCCGAACGACCAAGAAAGAATGTGTCTATTGTTCTTGCAGCGGTCGCTTGTCGCCTTACTAGTTGTGGTGTAGAGCCGTATTGGATCGGTCGCGCCCTTACGCCAATGATACATGACGTGGCGCCTGCTGGTACGTGAAGGTGTTTTAAACACGCCTTGTACCTGGGTGGCACCGTTATCCGGAAGGAACGGTAAACTCGATCGTGGGCGATCTTGCGTGGCTTTCCACTTGAGACTGATTGCTTATTTGCGGATTTCCCTCCCGTCCCTCAAGCAAGAAGCACGCCACCGACCATGTCGACGACTGCCAACTACCACGACGTCCAGCTTCTTGATGGCGGCACCGGCGAAGAGCTCTTCCAGCTCGGCCTCCCGGACGACCGGAAGACGTGGTCGGCGTATGCGCTGGTTCACGCCGAGTACAATGCACTCGTGCGCCAGGTGCACGAGAGCTTCTTCCGCGCCGGCTCCAAGTACGTCACGTGCAACAACTACACGGTCACCGCGTGCTCGGGCTTTTCGCTGCCGGAGATTGCGCAGTACACGTCGCTCGCCGGGGCTCTCGCGGTCGAGGCGCGCACGGCCGCGGCGACGCCGACGGCCAAGATTGTCGGGTCGCTCCCGCCGCTCACCGAGAGCTACCGCCCGGACCTCGTCCTTCCCGCTGCCGACGCCGTGCCCGTCTATAAGGTCATTGGCGATGCGCTCGCACCGTATGTCGACCTCTTCACGGCCGAGACCATGTCGTGCATCCGCGAGGCCATCATGGCCATCGACGGCGTCGCGCACTTGAAGAAGCCGATCTTTATCTCGTTTACGCTTGGCAAGGACGGTGCGCTGCGCAGCGGCGAGGCCGTGGACGCTGCGATCCGTGCGGTCGTCGCCCACTCGCCGCTTGTCCAAGCCATTCTCTTCAACTGCTGCGAACCCGAAGTCATCACGACGGCGTTCCAGAGCTTTAGCGCCGAGCTCCAGGCCGAATTGCGCTTTATGGGCATTCGCTGGGGTGCATACGCCAACGCGCTCACGCCCGTGCCGGAAGGCTGGACGCTCTCGGGCGCCGAGGCCGCGCAGCCGCTCCGCCAAGACATGTCGCCGACCACGTACCTCACGTTTGTCGACGCATGGATCCAACACGGCGCGACGCTTATTGGCGGCTGCTGCGCGATCGGACCCCAGCACATTAGCGCGATCCGCGACTTCCTCGCTGCCAAGACCGCTGCGTAGCATCACCACATCATAATGTTAGTACATGTCATAGACGCCACCGGGAACTGCTTTCAACACTTTGGAGCGCCATGGGTCCATTTGGAAGACTTAGGAGGCGACGTACTCGTGGAGCAGCCACATGCAAGCGGCTTCCACGTCCTCGGTCCAGACGTCGATGTCGTCGACGGCTTTGCGACTCAAGGCCGCGACAAGCGATTCAAAATTTGCCTGCGTCTTGAGCGCTGCGTCCACGTGCGTAAGGGCGCGGAGGGCATCGGCGGCGGCCAGGACGCCGACGTCGTCGTACGCGGTGCTGAGCGACTCGACATAGTCGTCAAACGGCAAGTTGCGCCCGAGCACTTCATATGGATCGACGCGCAAGCGTGGCACCGCGGCCGCGAGCGTCTTGTCGTACGCCGTGCGCAGGAGCGACGGCAATTGCGCCAAGAGCACCTACGTCATTAGATGTCATATATTGCTCTGACGTAGCCAGTCTATCATGTACACCTTTGGGGGCGCCAAGGTCAAGTCCTCCTATAAGAACGTATTTCTACGCATGTCCAGCCTGCAGACATGGTGTACCTCGAGCATATCCGACACGAATGACGCCTGGCTCGACGAATAGGGCACCTCGGAAGACGCGAAAGAGGCGGGGATGCTGGACGACGACGATATGTGCTTCTGGGACGCCAACGACTCGGCGCTGGGGTGGTTGGACCTTGACTTGGACATGGGAATCTACATCAACCTCGCGTCGTGTTGGTTCATGCAACGAGGCGCCGTACGTCAGATGTGAACGAGCTTTGGCTGTACTGCAGCGAGAGATGCGACGACGCGGTGTCCGACCCGACGACGTCATCTCGGCGCTCGTGAGAAATTGCAACGTCCGGTTCCCTGCTTAATGGGTTGTTTGTCGTCGTCGATTTGTGTGGCACAACAGCGTCGTCGTCGTCGCTGCCCGGTGGCTCGTCCCGAGGCGTAAACTCGACATCAAATAGATCCGGTGGCATCGTTTCGCCGACATGTGATGGTGCGGAGCTCGGCTCGTCGGATGCGATCGTTGGCACTGCACTGGGCAAACGCGCTTCCGTCTCTTCCTGTGGTGTCCGCATTATGGCCTCGCTCACGGGCGTCTTGAGCGGTGGAGCATCGTTCGCGTGAACGTCGTTTTCGCGACGCGGGGCGTTGAGCGACGCACCACTTGTTTGCTTCAGAATCGACGACGTGTGCGAGGCCGCTCGACGTCGGACGTACTCTCGGTACGCGGTCTGCAGCACAGAGGCTGCGATGTGGTGCACACTATTGTCGGCGGACGAGGCGACGAGCGCTAGCGCTTCAATGGCGGCGACCTCGCGCGCGATGTGCCGCGTTACAAAGCCTTTGACACTGAGTTGCTGATGCAGCCGACGACGACGCACCGCGCAGCCCCGAACCACGGCTTGAATGGATGTGGCAGCAATCGAACGCACCGAATATGCTGCTGCGTGGGTGCTGAGAGCTGTCTCGATCGACGCGCGCACGGCAGTCTCAGCGGCGCAGCACAAGACGACCGCGCTATCTTGCGAGGCATGTCGCTGTACTGCGTTGACCGCTGCCGCGGCGAGCAACTGGATCACCGCCTCGGCCCCATCTCGGCCATGGCTCTCAAAGAACGTGGCCAATTGGACTTGCAGCGCAGCATGTAAGCCAAGTCCAGCCGTCGAGGCCAACCACGCAGCCTGGGCGTCAGCAACACATTGGTCGACGACGTTTGCGTTGGTAGTGGATAGGCACTCCAGAGCGACTTGGAGATGTTCGTCCTTGGAAGCGTCGTGGAGGCGAGAAAGCGCTGTGCCGATTCCTCGAGCAGCCGCGGCGAGCACCATGCTGTGTTGAGGCAGAAGATTGTGCGTCGCTATTCGTGCATCCAACGTCGCAACCGTTGTGATTGGTGCAGCAAACGTGCCTTCTCTCTCGTCTTCATCATCTTGCGATACGGAACCAGTGGCCGAAATCGCGTCGACGTTTGTCGCTGCTTCACCAGATACACTGTTTGGCGCAGTGCCGGCCACCATGACGTTTGGGCCTGCAGGAAGGTCACCGCACGACGCGGCGACAGTGGTATTTATTGGCGCGACTTGGTTTGCTTCAGCCGTCATCACTGCTTGTGGGCAGTCGTTGATGCAGGCGACTGTCGAGCGGCTGATCGATGTCGGCAGAAACTTTCGCACCAAGTACCCTCGTCCAAGCGCTTGGATCACCGACGCTGCCAGTTGGTGTACCGCCGCGTCCACGTGGCGCAGTGTTTCGGCCATCGCATGGCGAGCGTTTACGAGCCGCTGCTTTCGCACAGCGACGCCGCGACTGAGCGCTTGGATAGTTGTCGCCGCACGGTCGGTCACCACAGCTTGCACAAGGACGTTGACGTCGTCTTCGCGTAGCTTGGGAAGCACAATCTGCTGGCGAACCAGGCAGCCGCGCACACGAGCTTGAATAGACGTCGCGGCGATTTCTTGTATCGCAGCGTTGGCCGTGTCCCGGGCCTGCGTGATCCGGTCCATGAGGCAGGTAACGCTGGCGGTGGCGAGGCGAGATGCCATGTCTGCTTCGTCCGCCAGCAGCGCAGTACGCGACGTCATGACGTGCGCGTACAGGTGGTCGAGGCAGGCGTCCGTGAGTCGCTCCGACATGCACGCCGTCGTGTGCCACTCGCCATATACACGGGCATGCGTCTTTTCGAGAAACGCATGGGCAAGGCGGCTCGCCATGTCTTCCTCCAGCAGTGTCGAGCGTTCAGCGTCGTCGAGTCGCCGCCGGTGCAGCCAGTCGACGACCCCACTGGATAGATCCCCCGCCATTGACATTTCGACTCTCAGCACAGTCTCCGTTTGCGCTCGCACGGTCGCACCAAGGGCAACGGTTGTTGCCTCGGCGAGGCGCGCTGCCATGTCGACTGCATCAGCAGCTACCAACGAGAGCTGCTGCTTGTAGGATTGCGAGAGCGCGTCAGAGACGGCCTGGGCCAATCGCGATGCCATGTTTCGCTCCCCGCCTTCGATGCGTCGCGACATTGCATCCATCGCCTCGATCTTGGCCAGATAGCGTCGCCACGCTTGCTGCACGACGTGCGCTGCCATGGTGTGAATGTAGCGCGTGCCAGAGTGCTGGCGGCGCGACTGGTGGCGGCGAAAGAGTCGCTGGATCTTGCGACTCGCTCCGTCGTAGCCAGCACGCAGCGCAGTACAGAGAAGACGACACTGCCGGCCACGCACGATGGCTTGAATACGTGCCGCGGCGCACGACCACATGTAGCGCGAGGTTGCAATGTGGCGGCGACACCAGAAGCCTCGAAGGACGCGCTGCAGCGTTGTGGCTGCGCACGCGTAGTCCTCCAACTGCATCTACAACGCAGTCAGCACGCCAGTATGGATCGACACGTGGAGAGTACCGCCGACGTCAGCTCGCGTTGCGTGTGGCAGCGCGAAATGACGAGAGTGCTGAGGTGTCGGGCGTACGCGTGCAGCGCGCGTTGGCGCACGGCCATGCCTTTGCAAAGTGCTGTAAGCACACTGGCGGCCACGTGCTGAGCTTCGCGCTGCTGGGCCGCGAGCTGCTTGGCCCGCGGCAATACTCGTTTGCGACGCACGGATCGTCCTTTCACGACTCCTACGAATCGCATCGTCGGATCGACAGATCATTGGTCAAACGTGTCTGTACCTTGAATGACGCTGGCGGCCAAGTGCTTGGCTTCGCGTTGCTGGGCTGCCAAGAGATCATCTCGGGAGATGTGGACCTCGAGCTGCTGTGCAAACTCAAGCGCGTGCTCTCTTCGAGCGGACGCGACTTTGGCAACACCTACCATTGCATATATCGATGAGTCGCAGCATGCACCGCTCGCAACGTACTTGGCTCTCGCGGCAGTTCAGAGCTATCCACCGATGCGGCTGGTAGTGGCAACGCAGGCATCTCGGGTGTGTCGACAGCAGCAGCAGCGCTGGCTTTTTCGGCGTCAATCCAGCGCTGTGTTTCGGCATATTGTGCTTCCCAAGCGACCCGCGCCGCGGTGGCGCTGGCCTGCGCCGCGTCCGCCTTGGCCATCTCCTCCTCTGCAATGAGCGCCTTGGCCTTGGCTTCACGCTGTGCCAAGAGTGCTTTCACCTTCTCCGCTTCCTGAAGCGCCCGTAGCGCTCGTGCCTTCTCCACATCGTTGAGTGCAAGGAGCTGCTTTGTTTGCGCTTCCATCTGGGCCAGTCGCTGCTTGAAGGCCGCGGCTTCGGCTTGGGCCGCAGCTTGCTTGGCCTCGGCATCGCGCAACGCCGCTTCCGCTTTGGCCCGCGCGGCTTCTTGATGGGCAAGCAGATCGCGTGTTTCGGCTTCGCGCGCCGCGAGTTCCCGCTTGGCTTCGTCAAGTAATCGGCGTTCTTGGGCACGAATGGCAAGTTCGCGTCGCGTCGCCTCCAGCTGCTGCGCCTCGCGCATCTGCGCCTCGCGCATCTGGCGGCGGTAGGCGACAAACCACCGCCGCACAAGATGCATGCGCACGATGGATTGGATCACGAGGACGCAGTGTAGCCGGTAGCGTTCGACCCGCGACGGCGACGGTGCACCCCAGGCAGCCCAAGCCCGCGGCAGGCGCCGGCGAACGCGGTACCCGCGGTAGTGCGCTTGTAGCTTGCGCGCAGCTGAGTCGTGTATTCGGTGCATTTCGAGCTGCAGGCGGTGTTGCTTGGCGATCTCGTGGGGCCGAGCGTCGACGTTATTGGCAGTGCCCGTCTCGACCGACTGCCGGAGGCGCTTGAGGTATTCAATGTGCGACACTCGCTCTGGAAGGCCCGTGGTGTTGGAAAGCTCGGTTTGGTGTGCGAGCGTGGCCCGCGCTTGTGGTCGCCGGACATCGACGCGCTCCATGCGCACGGCCGGCGACGATGCTTCAAAGACTTCGACAATTTCTTCGTCCGAGTCCGAGTCGAAGAGATTCGTAGTGATCGTCGTTTGCTGGGCTGGGACGCGGAGGGCTGAAGTTGGGCATGGGGCGAAGGCCCCTTGCTGCGTAGTAACGAAGGCATGGAAACAGCAGGTATCGACTGCTGTGGTGGCGAAACAATGTGGGCACTCGTGGGTCGTCGGCTGTAGGGGGGTGGCGGGGATTGACGGTCGGGCGGCGCGACTTTGAAGGCCGCTTCTGCTGTCGGTCCCTTTGCTTTTAGAAAAGCAGCAAACGTCGGTTGCTTGGGCGGTGACGGCGCGCGGTCGTGCCAGCGTCGACCTGCCGTATCGGGCGGCGGCCGCTTCCTCGACGCCGTTGTCGGTCGCGTCGCTTTGGAGGGCTGCGTCGGCTTGTACGAATGCGTTGCGTCTGCGGCCGGTGCGACGTGGCGGCGATGAGACCGCGGCGGGGCCTGCTTGGCATTCCTACGCTTTCGTTAGCATGAGGAGCACAGGCAACGATGGTCGTACTCGACGGGCAACGTCGCGGTAGCGTGTTTCTACGCGTATGTATCCGAGATATATCGACCGCAGGTAAAGGCGTGTGTACCTTCTTGGCTGCATCGAACGAGGCTTTAAACGTTTTCCATAGATTCCCGTTGGTGTCCTTGTACTTGAAGACCATTTGTAGCGCCTTCTTATACCACTACATACCAAGAACGATATACCCCGTGGAAACGCCGTGGCTCTCTACCTGGAGACTCGCGTCACCCCGTGCATTGAACTCCAATTCGACCGCCAAGTTGTGATATGCGATGGCCAACGCGACAATCTTCTCTTCCCGCGACTGGGCGTCGAGGACGTCGCTGCCCGCATCGCTTGTGACGAGCTCCTCTTGCGCGTGGAAGATCGCCGACTGCGCATGCTCGAGCGCCACGTCATGGCTACCATCGATTCAAGTTGACGAAAATGATGTATAGATAAGCGTACCGGCCAAGCTGGGACTGGATCGCACACAAATTCAAGTGCGTCACCGAGAGGTTGCGGACGCTGGGCGTCGTCGCGCCAAGAGACGCAGCTTCGGAGAGGAACTTGAGGGCTGTCTTGAGCTTGTGGAGGCTACACGATGGCTCATGAGCGTCGGACGAGGCTTGCGGGCGTACCGCCGGTAGTAGCAGCCAAAGTTGTTGTACGTCAAGATGCGTAGCGACTCGGGCGAGGCAAACTTGCCGGGCTTGGTGAGCGCGTCGGCCTTGCGTAGGAGTTCGAGGCATAGCTCGTGGGCGCCGGCGCCGAGCTGCTCCATCGCGTGCTTGTTGTACAGGAGCACGACGTCTTGGAACATCTTGCACACATCGTCATGCTACATGCAGAACAAGCTCATGCTCATCATCATGACGATGTAAAGAATGTCTACCTCGGCGCCGAGCATGCGTCGCTTGAGGAAGAGCCCTTGCTCCAAGCACCCGAGCGCTTCAAGGTCGAGCTGCTTGCTCTGGAGCGTCGCTACCATGCTGTCCATCATGTCGAGCAGGGTAGTCGTCGGCGTCGCTTCCATCGTCGTCGCCATGGCGCATGGGCGGGGCGGTCGGCGCGGGCTTGCTGCGGGGATCGTTACTTGCCGTTTCCGCGGAAACCGAATAATCCCGTGCAAAGCATATATATGCATTTATAGAGGTTATCAACGACCAGATTATGGCCGAAAACTTCATCGCGTGCTTGCGGCTGCAAGCATTCGTATTCTAGCGGTGCTTGGTCCAGCCCCAAGAATCGAGTAATGCGCACTGTAGAGCAGCTAGTCATTAACAGAACGGACTGTCTCGTCGGTGCCAAGCGGCCGCTTCCTTTGGCTTGCCCTTCGTTTCCTTGCGAGGAAAGGGATCCCTAACGCACCGAGAGTCAAGAGGGGCCAAAACGACAAGCAAGCTTCAAATGCTGCAAGCCTTCTCATGCACATATCGGTGCTACGCTGCCCTTATACGGAGCCTTGCAGCAAGGGTATATAATAAATGTATATACCTTTGCTTGCAGATCGATAGTTCCTTGGAGTTCAATATGCTGCAACGTCGGTGGGACTGGGCTGATGAGCACCGTCGTACTAGGCCAATAACGTTAGATCTCATGAGCACCGTCGTACTAGGTGTCGAAGTGGATTTGACTATCATGCTAGCTAGCGAGCGACACAAGTATAAGTCCTTCTTGTCCTCGCACCGGGTAGAGCCCAAGTTGACGACCAGTTGGTTGCTGAATCATGCCCACGCCAATCACGGCGTACTGTTTGAGCAATAAACTGATTCTTGCATTGTCCAGCCGTCGCGATGAGTGGTGGCCCGATCTATGCGCTCGGAATTGAAGGCAGCGCCAACAAGCTCGGCGTCGGCGTCCTGCTGCTCCATCCCGATGGCAGCTGCGACATCTTGAGCAACCCGCGCAAGACGTACATCCCGCCGGCAGGCCAAGGCTTCCTGCCGCGCGAGACCGCATGGCACCACCAAGTCCACTTTGCGCCGCTTGTCCGGCTCGCGCTGTCGCAGGCCAAGATATCGCCTTCGCAGCTGCACTGCATCTGCTATACAAAGGGCCCGGGCATGGGCGCGCCGCTGCGGTCGGCGGCGGTTGGCGCGCGCATGCTCTCGCTGCTGTGGAAGAAGCCGCTCGTGGCCGTGAACCACTGCGTCGGCCACATCGAGATGGGCCGCGCCGTGACCAAGAGCGAGAACCCCGTCGTGCTCTACGTGAGCGGCGGCAACACGCAGGTCATCTCGTACTCGATGCAGAAGTACCGCATCTTTGGCGAAACCATCGACATTGCCGTCGGCAACTGCCTCGACCGCTTTGGTACGCGTGATCCCGTCGTAGTGCCTGGTCCTGATACCAAGCTCGTCTAGCGCGCGTGCTCGGCCTCTCGAACGACCCGAGCCCGGGCTACAACATTGAGCAGCTCGCCAAGGAGTATCTATCGCACCTCTTCCATGGCACGTGGTCGATGTATGCAATGTGGTAGAGGCTCCAAGTACATTGAGCTGCCCTACGTGGTCAAGGGCATGGATGTCTCGTTCTCGGGCTTGCTCTCGTTCATTGAGAAGGAGGCCAAGTACGCTCATTCGACATCGCTTTCTGTTTCAACAATGTATGGCGCGTAGAGACAAGCTGGCGTCCGGCGAGTGCACCAAGGCCGACCTTTGCTACTCCCTCCAAGAAACCATTTTTGCCATGCTCGTACGACGCATCCTCCTGCGATGCTTTGACGACATATTCCATGGGTGCTAGGTGGAAATCACGGAGAGGGCCATGGCGCACTGTGGTCAAACCGAAGTGCTGATCGTCGGCGGGGTTGGCTGTACGCTTCGTTTCTCAACTTCGAGACGTTATAGACGGTCTCTTAGGCAACAAGCGCCTCCAAGAAATGATGGAGATCATGGCCAAGGACCGTCACGGCCGCGTGTGTGCGATGGACCATCGGTACCGTCCGATTAGAACCATTCTGGTATGCACACCGTACTAGGTATTGTATTGACAATGGCGCGATGATCGCGCAAGCCGGCGCGTTGCAGTTCCAGCACCTTGGCCCGACGCCGCTCGCCGAGTGCACGTGCACGCAGCGGTAGTGCCATCTTGACAATATTCGTCTAAGTCCTTGTAGGTTCCGCACGGACGAGGTCGACGTCATCTGGCGCCAAGGCTAAGCGCTCGGTCTCTGCATGCTGCGGCGTGATGGCTTCGTAGACGACGTTGGCGGTCGGAACAATACCCATGGGCGTGTCAACCTACGAGCAAATATAAGATGCTTTTGTTCTCTTGCTCGCGCCGTCGGTATCGTAGTACCATCCTCTCATCCCTAGTCGTCGGTCCAAGGAGCTACCATATTACTGTCTGTACACGTGTTGTCCTCGTCGTTGGCAGCGTACCGTTTGGAGCTCGCTGTGCTGGGCGTGGCGTGTCTCATAGTCGCGGAGGACGTACGTCGTGCCAAAGCTGTGGTAGTAGCGTGCGTCATGGAGCTTGACACACTAGAGAGGATCGTCGCATCATCAAGTATCCCAATGACATGCATGACCTTGTTGTCGACGCGGGCAAAGAAGCGACACAGGATAAGAAATCCAAACGGCATGACGCGCTACAAGGATGTGGTCATGAGCCGAGGGTACGCGTCGCATGCGAGTACGAGCTTGACACTGCATTCGACGTCGCCGAGGTCCCGCACGTCGTCTAGCATAGTACTACGTCTGTGAGTTGCACCTCTTAAGTCGAGCGACCTTCAAAGAGGATCACGTCATCGTAAAAGAGAATGGCGGCGTGTTCGCGCAGCCGATCGAGTGGCAGCGTCTCGCATGTCGGTTGCGGCGTCGCGTGCTACCGGGGAGCATGCGCGATGGGCACACAGCATGGCGCACGATGTCGAGCTACCTCGGAAAGTGTTCCGCGGTACGCGCACGTGTACGTGACGTCGAACGCCGTGGCCTCAACGTTGTGCGCCTCTCGCTGGGCGGTCGCCCACGTCGCAAGCGCGTCTTCGGCGCGGAAGGCCACGCGCCAGCCCGACGCCTCGTGTGTCGCCTGCAAGAGGTTGTCTCCAAAGAGCATTTCGGGCAATGGTACGTGCGGCAAGCGGAAGCGGTCGCTCATGGCCGACCGCTCGGATGAGCTCAGCGCGCCGCGCTTGATTGTCTCGAACGTCCATCCTGCGTAGGCAAACACATGGCGGCCGTCGACCACCGCTTCCTGGGCCATGGTCGTTTCGTGGCAAATCTCAAGAGTGTCTTTGAACGTCGCTTGGCCAAGATACAGTTGCAAATGACGTGGCAGTCCCACCGAAGTCCCACCGAAGTCCAAGCAATGTGGCGATCTTCGTTTCTTATCGTCTTCTTGTTGGCAAGTGCAGAACGATGCTTACTTTACATGCCGCACGTCCTCATGCAGATTCCTCGTCAAGTGCAAACATCGAGCGGACCTCATGGCCGGCACCTTGCTCGTGTATCGTGAACGAGCAGTCGTACCGTGGTAGCTGCAAGATGGGCGATCGCGTCGGAACAAAGGCGATGTGTTCGCAGCGTACTCGCTACGTCCGAGCCGCAGCAGAGAGCCGTCCACCGCAAGCTAATAAGCCAGCTCTTCCACCGAGTCGGGGATATGGCGAAATAGCCAACATGGATAGACCGACACCCTCCCGACTGATTACTGTACCACGGCCACTCTTGGTGTTGGATCGTAGCCGCAGATTTCGAAATCGAGCTTGTCCGCAATCGCTGACGTGATCCGAGCTGGCGTGCACCAATCACATGGCAGCAGACTGCGTATACAGCAACAACGTGGGAACGAGTTGTGTGGCGAGTGGCCGGGAGCGCACCAGAGATCAATATTCCGCCGCTGATCGCCATGCAGCGCTGCTGACCTTCTACGCTTTCTGGGTCGGGTCGATGTTTCTCTTCCAAGGCGCCATACTCACGATTCTCTGGAGCGCACACTACCGCTGGTATGTCGTGGCCGTCTACGTGGCCTACGCCTCGTGGCGCTTCCTCTTTCCTCTGCAAACGTGGCCGCTCGCGCAGCGCTGGATGCTGCGCATGAACGCAGCGTGCCAGTACTTTCCGTCGCGCGCAGTGGTGTTTGAGCAAGGGGCCGCCGCGCCGCCGCCCGACTCGAAGGCCATGCTGGCCTACCACCCGCATGGTATCCTCGCCGAGGCTGGTACGTCCTTCTGCGCTTGGCACTGGTCGAGTTTTCAAGTGGTGTAGGGTCGCCAACGGCTTTGCCGACCCCGTGTTTGCACCGTGCCAGATTTCCTGGCTTGTCTCGGAGCTGCTCTTTCTCATGCCGCCGATCGCCAACATCATCTCGTGGTTTGGCTGCGGCCCCGTGCACCGCGCCAATTTCGAGTCGCTTGCGAAGCGTGGCAGCAATCTCGCACTCATTCCTGGCGGGTTCGAAGAGGCGACCATCTACGCGTATGGCAAGCACCGCGTGTTTCTCAAGGAGCGCAAAGGCTTTATCAAGCTCGCGCTGCAGCACGGCTACAAGGTACCATTCTCTCTCGACTCGGAAGTACGATGCAACGGGGTAGGTCTACCCGGTGTATACGTTTGGCGAAGAACGCACGTATCTTGCCTTCGAGCCAGGTCTGCGCTTGCGCCTCGCACTCAACCGGTTTAAACTGCCCGGCGTGCTCTTCCGAGGCCTCTGGTGGTGCTTCTTCCTTCCATTTGCGTCGCAGACCATGACGACGGTGGTCGGCGCGCCGCTGCAGCTACCAACGCTTCCGTCACCGACGCCGGACGATGTGCGCAAGTACCACGATGCGTACATGACGGCTCTCCAAGCGCTCTTTGAACGCCACAAGGCAGCGTACGCGCAGGACCCTACCGAGACGCTCGAGTTCTTTTAACGCCATGAGTTTTTTGCCAACACACGTTATAGACGGCCCTCATAGCCCCGAGACGATGCACGAGGTGTAATGCATACTACGGTCCTCGATGGCACCTCGCTGGTAGTTGTTTTTATGTCTTGCTGGTACCAGCTACTGTACTAGTATCTCAATGGTCCATAGAGCCATAGATGCCCTTGGCTACTTGCAGTACAGTAGCATGTCCGGGTCAGAGTGGACTGATTTCACCCAACATTTCCATGCTCAACGACACGACGACGACACGCGCAGCTCGACGGAGGTCGTAGTATGTACCGGCACGGCGCTTGGGTAGTCAGACGCCACACGGTTCCCACCGGACCACGAGTACGATTCTTCGAGGCCCTGGAAGTCCGTTCAGCTTCAGCTCCAACATGGGAGAAGTACCGTCGAGTCCGTTTTCACCCAACTTTAACAGGTTGGCGAAAGATATGCTGCGGTTGGGGGCTACAAGGCGCCAACAGGTCGCGCAATTTTGACGATAGACAGACTGCGTGTCGTCGCTGCTTGTCGCGTTGACAGCCAAACGCAGACGTCACGAGCTACGTCATGAACACGGCGCCGTTGTGTTGCGATGTCTCTCTGGGATTGGACCCCATGTCGACTGCTACGAGGAGGACCATGTACCATCATCAAGCCGTGCGTCGACTCGACACGTCACGCATGATCACTTAGGATATCCCATCGGTCCACGCTGCGTGGGTATAGACAGCACCGTATCAGCCTCCGCTGTCGGGCGTGGCTGCTTGTGCCATGCGTGTCATCGATGATAACGTTGCGCTAGCCTACGTGGCATCCACCGTAGACTAGGCTTTGTCTCTTGAAAGAACGGGTCGGTCAATTTCGTTAGGTATATCTATCTTGCACTTGTGATATAAGAGGAGGAAAATCGAATTCGTTAGGCGTAGGAAGCAAGCGAGCACTTGGACACGTGCAACCCATCTGATTTGATGCACACTACTTCAGCAGACTTGACGTCGCGTGAAGGATGCGTTGCCAGCTCTTCCATCGTACTATAATACATGCAAGCCCGTGCTAGCCACAAGGCGCCATGCGTTCAGACAACTCTTGCAGTACAAAGCAAAGTCCCTTTCAAACCATGACTCTAGAACGGACCTTACAACACGATTTAAATCGCGATACAATAAATAGTGTACGGTGACCGACGGGCGCGCGTCTGTCGCACCTCGCCGCTTGTTGACACGGGATTCGTCAACAAGGGTCATGGGCGCGGGCTCGAAGCTCATTCTGGGATTTCCTTCGCTTCGGCCATTGTACTCTCCAGTGCTTCGCGATGCTGCAGTACTTGATGTACGCCGTGTTCTACTCGGTCTGGGTTGGATCGCTTCTCTGCTTTTACCTCGCGCTCGGAGCCATCGTCGTCACGGACCTTCGCTTCTACCTCATCCCGTTCTTCGCCATCTACTACAGCTACCGCTACTTCATCTCGCCGCTTGCGCCGTGGCCGGCCGCCCAAGCCTTTGCGTACAAGATGTTCAAGAAGCACCAGTATTTTAGCGAGCAAAAGGTCGTGTTCGAAGACAACATGGGTGCACCGGCCGCCGACTCGAAGGCGCTCCTCGCCTACCACCCCCACGGTGTTCTTAGCTGCGGCTGGTACAACGCTTTCGCTCGATCGATGCAACTCATTTCTTTTCGTATAGGACGACCAACGGCATTGGCTGCGAGACGTTCGCGCCGTCCCAGATCCAATGGCTTGTGTCGGACGTGCTCTTCAACCTCCCGGTGATGGGCGACATGATCTCGTGGGCGGGCTGCGGCCCCGCTGGCAAGGAAAACTTTTCCAAGCTTTGCGGCCAAGGCAGCAACATCGCGCTCATTCCTGGTGGCTACGAAGAGGCGACGACGTACAACTACGGCAAGCACCAAGTCTACTTGAAGAACCGCAAGGGCTTTATCAAGCTCGCGCTCAAGCACGGCTACAAGGTCGTATTACACTCTGATTTTTTAGAGTTTGGTGGATTGAAAAGCGATGTAGGTCTACCCGGTTTATACGTTTGGCGAAGAGCTCACGTATACGACGGTCAACCAACTGCTCAAGTTCCGTCTCTGGCTCAACTCGTGGAAGATTCCTGGCGTCGTTTTCCGCGGCAAGTGGTGGTGCTCCGTCCTGCCGCACGACGAGAACGCGCTCGTCACCGTCGTCGGCAAGCCGCTCGAGCTGCCGCTCATCGAACACCCGACGTGGGAGCAGGTCGAGAAGCACCACGCCGAGTACATGACCAAGCTCCAAGAGCTCTTTGACAAGCACAAGGGCGAGTACGCCAAGGACCCCAAGGCCACTTTGCACTTTTTGTAATGACTCGAGTCGAAATGCAAACACTGTATTTGAGAACTTGGCGTGGTCCACTGGATCGAAGCGGAGAAAACACTGTATTGCGATTTGGGCCCACAGACACTCGTATTAGGTCTGGCCCATGGCGCTAGAAGGGACGGCACCGTCGCCGCACTTTCGAGGTGCGTGACCAATGGTGAACGACACTGGTTGTGGGCTCGTGTCGCTCCCACGTGGCCATAAGTAGCGCCAAAATCCAGAATAAAATCCTGGTTCAAAACTAAAAGGGACGCGTCGATCGGTGGGAGCTGCATCGTCACATGCGCAGGCAAGGACGCAATGGCCATCTCTCTGTCGGCTTGCGTCACGTTGACGGAAACACCCACGGACGAATTTGGCGATCTTTCGGCACGTATCATATCTGTCTCATTTGAGACGAAAACAACCTGGGCATGTTGATGCGTTCGGTATGTCGTCAATCTAGCAGTGAATGATGCTTGGACATGCAGCATCCTGCGCACATTAGTTGATTAGTGCGGGCCTTTCATTGCTTCTGTTCCCCGTAACACCACAGGAACACCCGTGTGGCGATTTTGCAGGTGATGTCGGCAGGTCTCTCTGTACATCGAAAACGACTTGCGTTTGATATAATGTCCAGGGGCGCATTTGAAATATCATTCGTAGTCATTGCTCCATCCCGTTAGAATTGAAAGACAAGCGAGGCAACGCGCCTTCTCTTGCCATTCTTGCGACGTGGCTGGCAGGTTGGCCAGCCAAACGTTCCACTTCAAATGAGACGCTCTGGATAAATCTTGCACGTGCAAGCGAAGTTCGAAGCGCTTTTCCACGCCCAATTGATGTTTCGTGATCATCCAAGCAGGCGACGATTGCAATTCACTCTGCAAGATGCTGTCTACTGCGCGCGACGTGCTCCTGAGCTACAGCCTCGTCTTTGGCTTCTACACGCTGTGGATGGTGTCGATGGCGCTGGCCGTCGCGTCCGTGCCCGTCATGCTCTTCTCGTCGAGCTACCGCTACTACGTCCTTGCCTTCCACGCGTGCTACTTTTCCTACCGGTACCTCTTCCCGCTCTCGGCGTGGCCGTCGCTCTCCACGGCGCTTGTCGATATCTACCAGCGCCACCCGTACTACGCCAAGCAAGACGTGGTGTTTGACGAGGGCGCGGCGCCGGCGAAAGGCCGCTCGAAAACGCTCATGGCCTACCATCCGCATGGCATCCTCTGCTGTGGCTGGTGCGCACTGCTCGCCGTCACGTTCCTCCTCTCACTATGCTGTCTAGGCTCGTCAATGGTGGCGCGAATCCGGTCTTCCGCCACTCGAACTTTTCGTGGCTCGTCACCGATTTGCTCTTCCTCGTGCCCGGCATGTCGAACCTCTTGGCGTGGTTCCAAGGCGGCCCCGCGGGCCGCACCAACTTTGAGCGCCTCGCCAAGGCCGGCGACAACATTGCCATCATCCCCGGTGGCTTTGAGGAGGCGACGATCTTTGCCCGCGGCCACCACCGCGTCTTTCTCAAGAACCGCAAGGGGTTTCTCAAACTCGCGCTGCAATATGGCTACAAGGTATTACTGCATTCTTTGAGTTTGAGAGTCCGATGCCAAAGTAGGTCCATCCTGTCTACACGTTTGGCGAGGAAGAGACGTATGCGTCGTTCCCGTACCTTCTCAAGCCGCGTGTCTGGCTCAACAAGTACAAGGTGCCCGGCGTCATCTTCCGCGGCCTCTGGTTTTGCTTCTACATGCCATTCAGAAGTGCGCGCCTCACAACGGTCGTGGGCGCACCGCTGCAGTTGCCGACGATCGACCACCCGACGATCGACGACGTGACCAAGTACCACAACCAGTACATGGCGGCCCTCCAAGAGCTCTTTGACAAGTACAAGGGCCAGTACGCCACCGACCCGAACGCGGTCCTTGAGCTCTTTTAAGTATCAACTTGATATTCCATTGACTTTTGTTTCAACGACATGATGACACTGCCAACAAGAAGAAGACAGTGTGTGTCTTAGGCGAAGTGGCCGCGCTTGCGACCGAGGTCGATGCCGCGCGAGTTGCGCGGGCTGTAGAGCGCCACCGCACTTTGCAGCTGCTCGACGCGTGTCCTAGCAGAGCTCCAGGTGACGCCGATATCGGGTGGCGATGCGTACGTCTGGGCTGTCAGCTCTTGCTTGAGGTCGCGGATTACACCTTGCACGCGCCGTGCCTCAATCTCATGCCGCCATGAGAGCGCGGAACATTATACTAGATACAAAAGTACCTTGCGCAAGACTGGCACGTCATCCAATTCTTGCTGGAGGCGCTGCATCTCCTTCATGACCGACGTCAGCGTGTCTTGGGCAACCCGGGTCTGTCGCCGGGCCTCGTCGCGTTCGTCGCGCAGAGCATGAGCGGCGGGACTGCCCAGGACGCCGTGGAAGAGTCCGTGGCCACTGCTGTCGGTCTCGTTCGCTTCGTCCTAATCCATGTCGTAATTTAAACGCCAACGGGTCGGTGGGTCTACCTCGAGTCGCTGGAGTCGCTCCTGTAGTGCTCGGTTCTCTTTGCGCAGCGCCGCGAGGTCCAAGTTGACCTTGTCTAGCGACACTTCGGCGAGCTTCCAGTACTGCGCTCGTTCCAATGCAAGGCTCTATCACTTTGTTGCCGATGGTGTCGAAAGCCTGTACGCAGACCTTGTACTCCTGTAGCTCCTGCGCCAGCGTGCGCGTGGTATGGCCCGACAGAATCGACTTGTGCGGATCCATTGGCGGCTTTTGGGCGCGAAGACGTTGCTCCTTGAGTGCCTCCTGCGAGTTGAAGCGCTCCGACTGGAGCTCAAACTTGAGCTGAATCACTTGCTCTTCCCAGATCCGACACTCGGCGCGCATGGCCGAAAGCTCCTCTTCCTTGGCGCCGAGCTTGCGCAAGAGCGACTAGACATGGTTGCAGACGAGTGCTAGGTGGAAGTGGTAACAGTACCTGCAGGTCGTGGCCGGCCAACGCGTCGTCTTGGACGGGCTACAGATATGTGGCATCATGCGCACCGCCATGACGAAGTGCATAACGTACGGCAGCAAGCGGCTGCGCGTGGCTGAGCGCGTCTTTCAGCGCTTTCACCTGCTCCTTGAGCGCAAGGTTGTTCTCGACCACCTCTTGGATCGCCTCGGGCGTCGCCTGCGCCGCCCGCGCGAGGCTGAGCTCGTACTCCTTCTTTGCCATCTCTCGCTGGAGGATATCGACCTGCGCTGCGAGCCGCTGGTTCTGCTCCTGGAGCTCGAAGCGCGCGTTGCCTTCCTTGAGGAGCTGCGTCTGCAGCGCCTGGACCTCACGGACGTTGATCATCTATCTCGGTGTTGTGACGGCGCCACCTCACTCGCAGCTGTTGTCGTCTTGTTTGTAGGGACTTGTCCCGTTGAAACACCACGCTATCCGGATATACCGCGCGTCAAAGGGTTGCACCGGGTATGTTTTCTTACATAACGGCATCACCACGTTGCAAGAAAGGAATGACCGACCAATCACAGCGCGTACATTCTTAGATTCTTAGATGGCCATGGCAATGTGGGCCAACGGCAGCGTGCTCGAGCTCCGCCACGTCGCGACGGACGCGACCGCGACCTTTCTCGTCGAGCGCGAGAAGAGCCAATTGACCTTTTGCCGACTGGACGCGCCGTACGAGAAGCTCAAGGTGGCACAGACCGGCGACACGTCGTGGGGCGCGGGCGGCGGCAAGTTTGCGTCCTTCACGCCGATCGCCGCCCCCGACGAAGCGCTCTACACGTTCCAGCTATGCGCCAATCAAAAGAAGGCCAATGCGGCCGGCGGCGAAGGCTGGTACCTTGGCGTCGGTATCGGTGCGACCGGCGTCGCCCTCGGCCATAGCCGCGTCCTCATCGGGCACGCTGCGCCGGAATTGTTTGCCGTCACGCAGCACGCACGCAAAGCGACGTTGCAGCTTGACGCCTCGTGCGTGACGTCGTCACTGCCGCAGCTCTCGCCGTCGCAGATCGACTCGTTCATGCGCGAGGGATACCTGGTGCTGCCGTCGGCCGTGCCGGTCTCGCTCGTCCACGAGGCGCTGCGACAGATCAACCACGAGCTCGGGAAGCCGGGCATGATGATCGAGGGTGGCGTCGAAGGCGCTGCAAAGCTCGCAGGCAATACGTCCAACTCGGCGGCGATCCGGAACCTCTTCTTTGGGAGCTCTGTCGCCACGTATGTGGCCAGCCTCGTGGGCGAGATCGCGCCGCCGCAGGGGGCGCAGATTGCACTGCGCTTCCCCGAGCTCGGGCCGGCGTACGAGCCAAAGGGCAACGAGTGGCACACGGACGGCATGCGCCAAGGTCGTGCGAATTTGATTTTCTTTGTCGTAGCGCTCACCACGCGACCGTAGGTAAATGGAATCCGTTTTCGCTGCTCGTGGGGATCGCGCTCTCGGACGTCCAGCAGCCGCAGAGCGGCAACCTCATCGTCTTTCCAAAGTCGCACCATGCGCTGCACGGGATGCTGCAGGAAGGCGGCGTGCTCGCGGGGTGTGCCACGACGTGTACATCGGTGGACACGGTCTGGGGCGACGGCCACCTCCCGGACCTCGGCCCACCCATTCAACTGCTCTGCAGCAAAGGCGACGTTGTGCTCTGCCACCCCAAAATGGCGCACCGGGGTGGCCCCAATTTGTCGTGCAACATTCGGTACCAAGTGTACTTTCGCATCAAGCACGCGCTGCACGACGATCGCATGGAGCGGGCCAAGACCGACCTCTTCGCCGACCTTGACGGCTGCCAAAACAACAAAGCGTCATGAAGATGCGAATACGACGGATCTATTACATCAGCGGCGGGAGGTGGTCTTCGTGGCCGACCGAGTTGGACGCGGCTGGTCGTGAGAGCGGGGGCAGCACGAAGGGTGCGCGGTCGTTCGACGCGTTTAAAATGTCCTGGAAGTTCATGCGCGAGCGGCGGAACGCTCCAATGTCGAGCGTGTGCGAGCGGCCTTCGCGGGGCGGCCCGCGACCGACGGCAAGCACGGCGCCGAGCGCGGCGGCGGCACGAGCGCCGGGAGATCCGCGACCGTCGATGCCGATTTGCCGTTATAGATGATGCTGCGGATGCTCTCGTTCGAGTAGAGCTGGAGACGCTCCTTGGACCGGTTCGCCATCGTCGGCTTCCAGAGACGCTTGCGGTTGTTGGCAAACCAATTGTTGAGCTGGCACATATCGAGGCCCGTCTCGTCGCAGAGCGCCTTCTTCTCGACGTCGGTCGGGTACGGGTGCTCGAGATGTTCGGGCGACAGCATCCAGTCCTTGAGGATCTAGGTGGATTGACCATTCGACCTGCAGAAGTAAAGGACGAGATCGATTGCGTACGCGGATGACGTGGGGCGGCAGGAGCGAGCTTCGCCGGGCCCGCTTTTCTTTGCCGTTGCTGTCGTCGTCCTTGGACTCAAGCTCGCGCTTGAGCGGAGGCGACAGCTTCTGCTGCGACACATCGCTCGCACTGCGTTCGGTGCGCGGCGGGAGGCGCAGAAACGACGACGGAATCGGGTGGTGCGGCGCCGCATACGGGTGGTGCACACGTTGGTGGTGGTGCTGTGGATGGTGGTGGAGCCGATCGACGACCGACTCGGACACGGACCGGTGCGACCGCGGCTCGAAGAACGACGCGCTTGACGGCGGAGGAAAGGCCACGGGCGGGTACTCGTGTGACCGCACGGGGTACTCGGGCACCCGACGCTCCTACAAGAATATAGCGTCGTCAGGTCCTGGACAGAAAGCAGCGTAGCCAAGGGTGGAAGGACCGGTGCTCCGTCGGCGGCGGGTACCCCTGGTACGGGTCGTTGGGATGGCTGAACGGGTGGTCGGGCGCGTGACCACCGTGGTGCGCCATGCGGAGCGGCGCGTGCCCGTCTCGCATGTCGTCGGTCGGGCGATCGTGCACGAAGGGCGGGGGTGGCATGCGCGGACCGCTTTCGCGCATCTGGACATCGCGCGCGAAGGACGACTGCAGCTGGCGCGAGTGCTCGCGGCGCATCATGGGCTTCCAGATGCGCTTGCGTGCGTTCGTGAACCAGTTGGTGAGCTGCTTCATGTTGATGCCGGTCTTCTCCAAGAGCATCTTCTTGTCTTCGTCCGTCGGGTACGGGTGCTTGACGTGCTCGGGCGAGAGCATCCACGTCTTGAGGATGGCGACGGTGCCGGCGGGAGCTCGCGCCGGGGCTTGCGCACGTCGCCAGGTGCCGTGTTCTCATCGTGGTCCTTCTCGTCGCTCGAGCCGCCATCGTCGTCGTCGTGGCCGACCTCGTCCTTGACATGCGGCGACGCGGCCGCCTGCTTCTGCTCCTCGGTCAGCGTCGTCGTCGTCGTCATGGCCGATCAGGATGGATGAGTGACAGGATGGATTCGCTTGTTGTGACATTGGGACCCCTGGGACAGACTATACTCTCTACCTCCTCCGGTGCTGTCGCTATTGGCCACACGGACCAATCACAGCCGCGCAACGTCATTATTTTGACCAATCGCATGCGGTGATAGCCCTCGCCTCTGACACACCTCTGACAAGTGATATGTCACCTCTCACAACGCATTTTATATCCGGAGAGTCCACCCGCCAACTAGCCGACTAGATCGTCGACTAAACGCGTGTTGACCAAGACCCACCAAAATCAATTATGGGACGCCCTTGCCATGCTTTAAGATGGGGCTAAACGAATCAGAGCGAGCCCACGTACAAGACGCAAGCCCCAGACAAGTACCGATACCAATCAATCATGTAGTGGCTTCACTACTATCTTCTTGGAGTAAGTGATGGGAACGAGTGGATGCGCTTACCATGTTCCGACTGGCGGATTGTATCATACCAGTCAAAATTCCCACAGGCGGAACCGACTGGCGGATTGTATCATACCAGTCAAAATTCCCACAGGCGGAAGGCGGATTATGATGCAATACCTTTCATAGAAATAGCACAAGGAGGAGGCGGGTGCACCTGACTTGGGCGAGATATCGGCGTCGAGATTGAGCACTGCCCAAGCGAGAGATGGCAAAAGTTAGTCGACGGCGAGACCGGATACTCTTGCCGGACTGAAAACCATCAGTTGGTCATCCGGATAATACATGCAGGAGGTCCCCCCGTTGAACTTCAACGCGCTCGATGGCTCAAACCAAAAGCCCAGGGCAAGCATAGCTAGCATCCACGTACATGACACCCGCTCTCTCTCCCCCACGCGGTCCTCACAGCCTTTATTGCATCATCACCAGCAGTGTCAGGAGGCAAGATAAAACATAGGGACGCGACCACGGCAGCTGACCGCGGCACGCTGAACGACACGAGTGTGTCACTGCTCCATCAACACGAGCACGGCTCGCCCTTTTTCATGCACAACGCGCAGCCGTGGAGGCAGACCAGGCCGCCATCACGCGCGGTGGACCCAAGTGATAGGGGTACTTGACTGTGCTGGATATCCGGATACGACCGCGTCGGCGCCTGGGGTTTGCCCACGACCGTCGCGTCGTGCTCTACAGGAGGTCCTGCGCAGTGTTGTCGTGCCACGCTGCATGCGTCATCGTGTCGCAGGCGATATCCGGATTAATGTACTTGGCCCAACTAATGATATCCGGTCAGTGCGCGACACGAAGCACCGCGGCTTTCGACAACGCAATGGGGCGCACGCAAATCACTTGGTGTACCTTCTTCGCACACTACAATCGACCCATCAGAGCTTCTTGTCAGGCTCCCAGCATCCAGCTCCAGCTCTACCAGTCAGCATCATTTAGTTGGGTGTTTTTAGAATACATAACCTGGACACGTGTATTTCACGCAGCGTTTCCAGCAAGAGCTGCGGTTGCCCTGCTCGAGAGCGAGAGGCTACATGATCGATATACTGGTGTCGTACTTGTGCCACGCACGACCAGTAGACACGTGGGGGGCACAGTGCCCCTCCCACTCGTGTCGACGGGGCAGTGATGACTCGACGTGATCGGCTTCCTAGCGTTTCCGGCTTTTCAATTTGATTGGCTAGGTCATTTTGACCAATCAAAGAGTGTTTTCGTACCAACACGCAAGGCCATTGGTGCTTTTGGTAGAGCCAATCATCAAACGTAATCTGTCAATCGATGCCTTCTGCCAAGCGCCAGAAGGTCGAGGCGGAGCCGCCTGTCGTCGCCGAATACGAGATCCGTGATGGTGGCCACGACCGATGCTATCGACGTAGCTTATAGTGATATGCCTAGGCTACCGCTACGTGAAGCCATACGTCTTCAAGTTCATGGCGCACGCCAAGCAGCGCTGGTTCAATCGCACGCTCATGGACGTCTTCACGACCGAGTTTGGCGCCTTCTCGCCCAGCTATTACGTACACGTCCCTTTCCCTTCATCGATACGCATTGCGATAAGTAGGTCATGGCCATCGAGTCGGGTCGTATCACGCTCAACGGCGCGCGCACGACGCCAGAGACGGTTCTCAAGAACGGCGACCTCCTCTGTCACATGGTCGGTTGCAATAGCAATGCCAACTATACTACTGCGGACATTTATTATGCCCTCTCAATAGACGCACCGCCACGAGCCGCCTGTCGTTGGCGACGACATTCCTGTCGTCTACGAGACCCCCGACCTCGTATGTGCATCATCAAGGACAACATGTCCATAATGACGGAATGTTGCAGGTTGTCGTCTCCAAGCCATCAACAGTGCCGACGCACCCGTGCGGCGCCTACCGCCACAACTCGCTGGTACACGACCCTTCACCCTGACGCTTTGTCGAACGACGTTTGTAGCATTTCATTGTGTTGGCGAGTCGTCCCGACTTGACCGCGCTGCACATCGTGCACCGCTTGGATCGCTTGACGTCGGGTAGACAAGCGAACGCTCTCGCTGTAGCCACACCCTCTCACTAGGCGTCGTGATTCTGGCCAAGACGACGGCCAAGGCTCGCGAGCTCTCCAAATGCATTGGTACGACAAGTCGTCTGTAGTGTCCTAACCAGCTGATTATTGATCTCGCGCCTATGCGTAGCGGACCGCACGGCGTCGAAAGCCTACTTGGCGCGCGTCCGAGGTGTGTACCCCGAGACCCTTTCGGCCGAGTGGCTCGCCTCCGCGTCGGCGACAGCGGCAGCGACGACGCCACTCGCCGTGCTTACTATGGACTCGCCTACGCAGCTGCGTATCCAGTGCCCGCTCGCATGCAAGTCGCACAAGGACGGCGTGTGGGGCTGCGCGGTGCCTGGTGAAGACGCCAAGGAGGCCGAGACGGTCGTCGAGTTTCGCTGCGCCATGGACGATGGCACGAGCGTCGTCTACGTCAAGGTTGGTCGAGTGTATTTCAAAACGCAGTCGATGAAAAAGTGTCGACGTAGCCGGTGACGGGCCGCACGCACCAAATTCGACTCCACCTGCAGCTCCTCGGTTTGCCGATCGCCAACGACCCGTGCTATGGCGGTCAACTGCATTTCGGCCGGACCGACCTCCATGTGACCGAGGACGACAATATTGTCATCGCGAAGGACAAGGACGACGATACGGCGTGCTTTGCGCCGCGCGAGGACGGCGAGTCGGACGATGCGTTCATGCAGCGCACGTGCAGTCGGTGCCAGACCGTGCAAGTCAACCGCAACCATTTGCATTGTGCGTGTATCTGGCTCCACGCGCTCGAGTACAAGGTAGAATTCGTGGTTCTTGCATGAGGGCATATATGGATGCATTGTTTAGCTCGCGGGCGACACGTTCTCAGTGCCACCGCCGGCGTGGGCCACGCCAAAGAGCTCGTCCAGCAGCGCCTTGTAGTGGACCACCGATCCAGAATGCGGAAAGAGGTCGCTCGCAATCAGATACAAGTCGTCGTCCGACAGCGGCGCCTGCACGCTGCGTAGCGCCGTCATCAACGCGTCTTCCCCTACACACATGGTCAATGGAGGTATCGACTCGTTTCGTGTACGCAGAAAGCCGCTGCCGTCGCTGTCATGCGCGAGAAGCGCCTGGCGGAGACTGTACTTGGCACCGTCGAGCGCAGTGCCGAGAAGCGTCCGCACGGTTGGGTCCATTGCTGCCACGTTGGTGGCTGTCGTCGACTGCTGTCGAAACTTGGCCTTGGCCCGCTCGAGAATGGCGCGGGACCGAGCCTGCGTCGCATCGGCGGCGTGTTGGGCTTTGGCGAGTCCACTGCCTACGCCCATGGCCGTCGTTGTGTAGAGCGCGGCGCGCATCTCGGGCGTCAACGGAGCTGCCGTCGTTGCACGGGGCGTCGATGCAACGGAGGACGACGACGACGACGACGGTGTCTTAGCGCAGGACGTCGACCGTTCGGTGAGCGCCTGCGTCACCTGGGCGTGCATACGTTGACTTGTTGTTTGGAATCGCCCCGACAGCAGCGATCCGATCTCGGTCGGGGTCATGCTCGAGGCGTTGGCCCGCGCCGACGTCGGGCGCGATGCAACGGACGAGGCGGAGAGCGACGGGTGGTGTCGATTCGAAGAGCCTGCTGTCGTCGCCAAGGAGACTGCGCGCATCGACGCAGAGAGGGCGGGCTCGGTGGATGGATTGGGCTCATGTGCATCGTTTGCAGCCAGCGGGACGACGCCAAAGCGCGCTGTGTCGAGCTGCGATCGATATGTAGGGATGTACAAGGGCCCTCGCTCGTCAATTGGAGGCGGCCGGGGCGGCAGCCGGGGAACGTTCTGCGATGCCTCGTCATGCTCGTCGTCGTCGTTGTTGTTGCCATGACTCCAGTCGCAGTCGTACACATCGTCAAAGAACGAGTGGTAGTCGACAAAGCCGTCGACCGACATGTAGGACGCCCAGAGTCCATCGGGCGGGCGGCGAGAGCTCGTAAAACGACACCAGGCGCTCGAGCAGTCGGACGGATGCATGCCCCGACGCCTCCGTGTCGAGGCGGGCAATCGACTGTCGGAGGTCGGCCGGAATCTAATAGTACATCGCGTCGTCGTCACCATTTCTCGAAGGAAAGGCGACGATGGAATATGTACCTGCCGCAGTTGGCTCCAGAACGAGCCGTCGCTGGGCGTCGCCGCCGCCGATGCGCGCACGACTGCATCACAAAACTCGGCTGCCGTTGTCGTCGGTTGAACAAAGCGCCGGGTCAGCGTAAGCCACGCGTGCGGATGGAGGTGGTCGTGCAAATGCAGCCGGTGGCGGAGCACACTGTTCATGCCATCGACGCCGAGGCAGCCATGCTCGCGACTCTCGGCGCTGCAGACACGTCGCAGATTGGTCCCGCGCTCGTGTAAGAGCGACGCAACCTGAGCGAGCACGCGCTCGATATCCGCATGCTCAAAGCCGTCCGGGTGCGCCTCGCAGTACGCCAACGTTTGTTCGTCCGCCTCGACGAGCCGGAACGGCTGCTTGGGTGTCAGTGCGAACGTCAGGGTCGCGCCGACGCAGCAGTCGGACGGCCTCAAGTACCGTGCCGCAGCGTCATCTTGGAGCACCTTGTACGCACCCCGATCGAGGAACTTGCCGCCGCGGAGCCCCGAGTTGGGTACCGGTGGCTCAAAGATGGCCAGTGTCTCGTCGGCGAGGTGTACTGTCAACACAAAGGAGCGTGCTGCTTGCGCGGGTGGTAGCTCGGGCGTCGGCGCAAAGATGGCGCGAAAGCGCAGGCATTGCGTGGTGGCCCGGCGGTCGGGCTTCTTGGCCTTCTCGCGCACCAGTTGCTGCAGCAGCGACCCATTGTCGTCGTCGTCGTCGGTGTCGTCGTTGGGCGGCGACCTATCGTTGGAGCGTTGGTTGCTACTGCGCGCGACGGTCTCGGACGGCTCTTGCGTGATGCCATGCTGTGTGAGGTAGTACTGCCGTGTGAACTCGTCGCAGTCGTCGAGATGAAAGACGCGGCCAAAAACAAAATCTCGTTGCCGCAGCGCAGGTCCAATGGCCGTACATACCGCGTCTCGTCGTGCATCATCGGGAGGGGTCTAGCCACATTATGATATTGCATTGTACTATGAGATAACAATCCGTGCAGGTGACGCCGTACCGGCGAGAGAGAAGCACAGCGAAGGACTGGCCGCTGCCGCGCCGGTCCCGCGCCGCCCGGCCTTCGCGCACTTCCACCGTGTCGTCGGCGAGGAAGTAGTGGAGCGTGAAGCGGCGTGTCTCGGGGTACAATGGATGCGGGTCCTCCCACGAACAGTAGAAGCGAAGCACGTGCGTGCTAAACTGCATAAACTGCTGGACTTTGGCGGCCGCCTTCTTCTTCGCGGGCAGCGTCGGTTGTGGCGGCTGCTTGACCGCTTCAATCTCGCGGTAGGCCGACACGGCGGGCGTGTCCGGGTACGGTAACGCAGGTGGCTGTGGCCGCTGCACGACATTGGCGTAATACTCGCGCGTCGCCGCGTCGCAGTCGACGAGTTTGCACTTGTGGCCTTTGAGTACGATCGTTTGACCAACGGCAAAGTCAGTTGGCGTGAACGGCCCTCCCGTCGGCGACAGCAGCACAGTACGCGCGAGGAAGCGGCCTTGCGCGAGGCCGCTGTTGGCGACGCGCGGCTCGGAGACTTCAATCGACGCATCCGAGAGGTAGTAGAGCAGCACGAGCCGGCGCACGCGCGACGGGCCCGATGGCGCCTCGAGCGACAGCGGCGCGTAGTGCGACGGCTCTTCAAAGTAGCAGTAAAACCGCAGCACTTGGCGGTCGTTGGTCACCCACGTCGGCAGCGACGGCGTGCTGTAGTAGCGCGAGCTCGGCTCGGACGAGGACGCCTTGGGCTCAAGCGGCGCGTCCTCGCGTGCTGGCGGTGGCGGCGCGACCGGCCGCATGGCTGGTACGACGTCTTCGTTGCCCGCCAGGATGCGCGCCATGGCATGACTCTTCCGGTGATGCGCCTTGGTAATCTGTGCATGATGCAGCGTACGCAGGCCTGGGATCATGTGCGGAAGCCCACTGCTGCCATCGGGCGTCGCCATCAGGCGCGATCCTTTTACAACGGCGTCAAAGTGGCACGTGCCACGTCGACAAAAGGCGGCACGTGCCACGTCATCCCAATTTGGCACATGCCACATCCACAGGCGGCATATGCCACCTACAAAAGTACCGGTATGTGCAAACCCCCTAATCACCGTCGCAGCTACAACCAGTTGGGGATCTTCAACGGGCGCGCCTTTTTAGAAAAGGCAAAAAAGCCCTGCAGCAATGCACTAAATATCGCGCGAGGCGTAGCGAGACCCTCGGTCCAAGAAGAGAAACCACGACGTCCGTTCGCCCGGCAGCAGTACGTACTGGTACTCGGCAGCGACGGGCCGGCGCCACATCACCTGGGGTCCAGCATGACCAAGGTGGCGCCGGCGCGGAGTGTCTTGGGCATCACCAAAGACGGTCTGCGCAACATCAACGTCGACCAGATGATGGAGTCCAATGCCCTCGCCGACCTCGGCGGCATCGACGGCCTGGCCAAGAAGCTCTGCGTCAATCTGGACTTTGGCCTCTCGAGCAACGAAGCGTCCCAAGGCTTTGCCGACCGCCGCAGCGCGTTTGGCGCCAACCTATTTCAAGACACACCGTCCACGTCTGATTTAGCACTCGTATTCGAGACGCTCAAGGACACGACGATCCTTGTCCTTCTTGCTGCCGCGATCGCATCGACCATCACGGGGTCCATCGAAGACCCGAGAAGAGGCTGGACCGAAGGCGTGACCATCATGATTGCTGTCCTCCTCGTCGGTCTCGTCAGTGCCACGTCCAACTATGCAAAAGAAAAGCAATTCCGAGCGCTCAGCGCCAAGAACGACGAGTTCACGTCAAGGTGCGTCGGCACTTTATTGTCTTGACGTTTCTATCGCAAGACAATGTTCGTGCTACGCGACGGACAGTATGACGCGGTCCTCGTCACCGACATCAACGTTGGTGACATTATTGTACTGGAAAACGGCGACCGGATTCCGGGCGACGCCGTCTTTGTCCGCGGCCAAGACGTCAAGTGCAATGAGTCGAGCTTGACGGGACGATGTCGAGAAGAGCGTATCGTCCGATCTATTCTTGCTCTCGGGCTGCTTGATCTCGGCCGGTCGCTGCCGTCGTCACTGCAATCGGTGTCGAGTCACGCTGGGGCCGCATCAAGTCCAAGCTTATCCGTGCCGAGCGACCGACACCGCTCAAGGACAAGCTCGAGGACATGGTCAAGATCATCAGGTACGGCGGCATCTTCGTTGCTGTCGCCACCATGCTCGTGACCATCCTTCTGTATACATTTTTCGCCAATCGCACCGGTAGTACACTTCTATCAATATGTAGTTTGCAATGTATCAAAGTATCGACTCAGATTTGGGTAAATGCGATATTCGTGGGCTGGACCGACTGCATCGCCTTTATCATTGGCGTCACAATCATCGTTGTCGCGATTCCCGAGGGCCTTCCGCTCGCCGTGACCATCTCGCTGTCGTACTGGACCAAGAAAATGCTACTCGACCACAATCTCCGCATTCGCGTCCTCGCTGCGTGCGAGACCATGGGCAACGTCACGAGCATTTGCAGCGACAAGACGGGCACGTTGACGGAGAATCGCATGACGGTCGTGTCGCTTTGGGTCAGCCATGGTGCACCGCTGCTCGACGCACTCGAGATCGGCGCCAGTTTTCTCGACGAGCTCAGCGTCAACGTCTGCGTCAATACGACCGCGGAGCTCACACAACAGTCTACGGCAACAAAACCGAGGGCGCCCTCTTGCTCTGGCTCCAATCGTGCAAGGTTGCGTATGCAAGTGTGCGCGCGGCCCACTTCAAGCCCCCTGGTGGCCACATGTTTTCCTTCTCGTCCGAGCGCAAGACCATGATCATTTGGCGCCCGAACGGCACCTACCGCCTTTTTAGCAAGGTACACATCCTCCATCTACATGCACACCAAGTCGGTCTCTAGGGTGCGGCCGGAATTGTGCTTGAGCGCTGCAGCACCATGCTCACGTTCCAGCGCACTGAGGTGCTGTTGTCACCATCGACGCTTCATAATTTTTTCATGTGCTGTCGCTAGGGATCGCGATGCGCTTCCTACCCGTGGACGAAGACGAAAAGTCCTTTGCCAACCCCAACCATTTAGACGTGCATGCAAGTAGTATTCACTAGGCATACTACGACCAAGGCCATTGGATATGGATGTTCTCGATACGTCACACGACGAGGAAGAGAATGGCAGCGACAGGATAAGAAATGTATTGAGAAAGCATGCAATCGATCGACAACACGTCTAGCCAGACCGTCCCAGCAACGCCGGCCCTTTGCCCGTCGACGTCTCCGCAACGTAAAAGAGGAGGTACCCCGTCTCGGCGCCAGGGCCCGTGAGCACTGCAGCTTGATCGACCTGAAAAACACTCGTTGAGTCGATGCTAGCACGCTCCAACCAACCTCGGTGACGAGCGCGTCGTTGTAGCGCGTCCATTTCGTAGCCTGGTTGTGCACGTCGGTGATGTAATGGCCTTCGCCCGCCGTGCGCCCGAGGTGCCGCACAATACTCTACATTCCATTTGGATGTCGCCGCGATTTGAAGAATGGCGACGAGGGCTACCTTGAGACGGTACTTTGGAGCTGGCTTGGCGTTTGGCGCCTGGAACACACTCAGGTCCACCGAGGTGGGTGCCACCACAATGTCGTTGCGCTTGACGAGCGTCATACTCGCCGTGCTGATCTCAAAGCGCTTGAGGTGCAGCACAAGAATCGGTGGCGCGTGCGTGATCGTTGCAGTCACATTGACCGAGGCGCCGTCAGCACACTTTTCGCACTTGAGGTCGACCGTGTGCGATTGAAAATGCTAGGTCCGTGCTTGAAACACAGTGTACGAGACGACAATCGACACATCGGTACCGTCGTCAAGAGCTGGGGCACGTCCAAAGCGGGCGCTGGCGGCTCGGGCGGCGCGTCGTCCCACGCAAAGAACTCGCACTGCGGAAACTGGTTGCACTTGATGAACGGACGACCCTTGTTTTTCCCGTCTTTCTTGGTAATCAAGCGCTTGACGGGCTTCTGACACTTGCACAAGATCGGTGGCTTGGGCGCCGCGAGGGCTGGAAAGTCCAGTGAGAGTTCCCGGAACGTTTCCTTGACGTGCCGGCGGTACGCGCACGACGAGCACGTGAGTGTTTGCGTGACCGTCGTGCGAAAGAACGTGGTTGTCGGCAAGAGCGCTTCGACGTCGGCCGGTGCCAGCGTCGGTGTTACCATCGCTTTCTCATCGTTGCCGCCAAAGTACTGGTGCAGCGACTGCTTGCTCGCCTTCTCTCGGCCGCGTCCGTCGAGAGCAGGTCCAGCTGCGACTGCACCACGCCCTTCATGTCGGCCTCGAGCTCGTTCAGAACGTTCATGAGGAATTCATGCGCATCCTGCTGTGCATTGCTACCGTGTCCATCAGATACCGAGGATCCATCCGATACGTACTTGGCAAACACTTGGGCACGCTTACCAACAACCGCCTTCATCGGACTCGGGTCCAAGTGCGCCGACTGCACGTGGCCCTTGATCATGGTTTTAAAGACCAGGTAAAAGTCGTATGCGTCCTTGACAGCCTTGGCTTGCCAATGGCCTTTTGGCAGCGGCATCTTGGTCAGTGCCGTGACCCACGCATCGTCACGGAGCGTGGTCACAAAGGCCTGCAGCGATAAGAGCGCTTGCAGCACCGCGTTCATATAGCACGTGTTGCCAAGGTTCACGAGCCCTTGCTGGCTCTTGGCCACGGGGTTGGCCGCCGCCGCTGCTTGGCGCTTGGCACTACATAGGCTCATGGAATGAGGTATCATCCCTGACGTAGGGCCGTACCCGAGGAGGAGCTCGGAGAAACCATCTTTGGCCACCTGCTTTTTCTCAGTGACCTCGTCGTCGACGTCGTCATCTATATTGATGGGCTCGCTTGCGTTTGTCTTGGTCACCGACGGTGGGTCTGCCGCGCTCGGTTTTGATGGCTCCTTGGGCGCCGTAGCGATGAGAGGGGTCTCGGTGCGTTTACTGGGGGTTGTCAGTATCGTCATCACTGGACGTGACGGCGCCGCGTCAAGGTTGAGCTTGGGCGGTAGCCGGCGCAATGGACTTGCTTTTGTCGGCGGCGGCGGCGGCGATAGGTCCATCTGCAGCTTTGTCGGGACGAGCCTCGTCTTGCCTTTGGGCGAGTAGAGCATCGCATCAAGCTCGCGCATGCGATCGCCCATGGGGCGCACCTTGCGCACGGGCGAGGGCGAGTCCAAGGCGCCAGCGCCATCCATCCCCTGCGCGTCGTCGTCGTCGTCGTCAAAGGTCTTGGCGCGGGTCGGTGTCGGGTGCGCCGCGCTGGGGCTCAGCCATCGCTTCTGTGCCATGCTTTTCCCAAACGG